AGACTCAGGAACAGAACTCAAACCATGTCTTCCTCTGCCTGGTCTTGCACCACACAGCAATAAACACAGAAAACTCCTGTGACCAAAAACTCCTGTGAGCTTTTTCCTCTACCAATAAGTGAGCAGTCAGTTCTGCAGTGAATACTGGCTGGGTGCCCTTCAATTCTATTCTGATGCTGTGTACCTGGAGCACATCACATCCCACAGGTCTAGGGCCCTCTTTCAGACAGCAGTCACAAGTCCAGGCCTCTGGAACTTTTGACCAGACAGCTTCAAAAGTTGGTGATCCCTCTTTGGGTTTGATTAATTAGCTAGAGTGATTCACAGAGCTCATGGTAATACATACTTAATGTTTACAGGGTTTATTACACAGCATTTTTTTTTTTTTTTTTGAGACGGAATCTTGCTCTGTTGCCAGGCTGGAGTGCAGTGGCACAACCTTGGTTCACTGCAACCTCCACCTCCCCAGTTCAAGCAATTGTGCTGCCTTAGTCTCCAGAGTAGCTGGGACTATAGGCGTGCGCCACCACGCCCAGCTAATTTTTGTATTTTTTTTTTCTTTTTTTAAGACGGGGTTTCACCATGTTGGTCAGGCTGGTCTTGAACTCCCGACCTCAGGTGATCCGCCTGCCTTGGCCTCCAAAGTGCTTGGATTATAGGCATGAGCCACCACGCCCGGCTACACAGCATATTTTAGAGGATCCAGGCCCCGTGTGGTGGCTCGTATCTGTAACCCAAAAATTTTTGGAGCCTGAGGCGGGGAGATTACTTGATCCCAGGAGTTTGAGACCAGCAACATAGTAAGACCGTATCTCTACAAAAAGTTTAAAAATTAGCCAGGCATGGTAGTGCTTGCCTTTTGTCGTCCCAGCTACTCAGGAGGACTGCTTGAGCCCAGGAGCTTAAGGCTGCAGTGAGCTATGATCACACCACTGCACTGCAGCCTGGGTGACACAGAGCAAGATCTTATTCCAAATCACTTGATAAGGAGAAATTAGCAGATGGCAAGAACATAGGGTCAGGTCTGGAGGGTCCCAAGCACAAAAGCTTCTGTTCCCTAGAATTGGCTTGTGCCACCCTCCTGGCACCTGTGTGAGTTCCTGCTCACCTTCCTCTCAGCGTTGGTGTGTTGTGTCCAGAAGATCTCTGAACCCAGACCTTTTAGGTTTCTATAGAAGCTTTATTACATTATATAACTTCATTCTACGTCTTTTTTGTCTTTGTATGAATGGCTTATTTCACATAGCATAGCTTCTTTCAGGTTTATCCATTTTGTAGCATATAAAGACATTTCCATATATTTTTTTTTTTGAGATGGAGTCTTGCACTGTCTGCCAGGCTGGAGTGCAGTGATGTGATCTTGGCTCACCGCAACCTCTGCCGTCTGGGTTTAAGTGATTCTCCTGCCTCAGCCTTCTGAGTACCTGGGATTACAGGTGCCTGCCACCACCCCCAGCTAATTTTTTCTTTTGTATTTTTAGTAGAGACAGGGTTTCACTATGTTGGCCAGGCTGGTCTCAAACCCCTGACCTCGTGATCCACCCTCTTCAGCCTCCCAAAGTGCTGGGATTACAGGCGTCAGCCACCATTCCTGGCCCTTTGTCAGCATTCTTTCCTCTAGACGTAAAGCAGGATGCTCTCTGGCAAGGTCTTAAGACCTATAGTCAGAAAGATTGGGGAAGATGAGAGTCGTGCCTTTGGGAAGGTGAGAGGAAGGCAGGAGAAGGTCGGAGAGGTTCTGTTTCCTGAGCTCTGCCCCAGGGCCTACCACACCCAACATTACAACAGAAGACTGTGGCAGAGGCTATGGGAGTTATGAGCCAGAACTGTGGATATGTATATCATAACACCACATAGCGGTTCCTGGAACCAGTCCTTCCTGGCAACCAACGGACAGCTATATTCTGAATAGAAATAATGCAAGGTAGGCTTTCTGTTTTGTCTTCCTAATTATGAAGGGAAAGCCTTCATTATTTGAACACTCAGTATGATGTTACCTTCTTTTTTTTTTTTAGACGGAGTCCTGCTCTGTCACCAGGCTGGAGTGCAGTGGCACAATCTCAGCTCACTTCAACCTCAGCCTCCCAGGTTCAAGTGATTCTCCTGCCTCAGCCTCCCAAGTAGCTGGGACTACAGGTGTGCACCACCACACCTAGCTAATTTTTTTCTATTTTAGTAGAGATGGGGTTTCACCATATTCTGCAGGATGGTCTCAATCTTCGGACCTCATGATCTGCTGGCCTCAGCCTCCCAAACTGCTGGGATTACAGGTGTGAGCCACCGCGACCAGCCACCTTTTGGCTTTTTGTATATGGCCTCTATTATGTAAAGCGGATTCCTCATATTCCTAATGTATAGTGTTTCTATCATGAGTAGTTGCTGACATTTTTCAAATGTTTTTTTCTCAAGTGGGTTTTTGTTTTTATACTGTTTTTGTGGAGCATTACAGAAATTGATGTTCCTAAGTTGCAATATCTTTGCATTCCGGGAGTAAATTTTACATGACTTATTTCTTACTGTTCTTAACATTTCTATTTCTTCATGTTTAAGTCTTCGTAAGCGGTGTATATCTAGAAATTTAGCCAATTGTTGTGACACAGTTGTGCAATCTCATTTTCTACAATTCAGTTTTATTTGTAATGTCCTCTATTTCATTTCTCATTTTAGTTATTTGAGGCTTATGTTTCATTTTTGTTTTCTTGTTTGTTTAGCTGAATTCAAAGAAGAAACAGCTCCACAATATATTAGTAGACTTCAATACTTTATTTTCAAAAATGGATAGAACCAGATGACTCCACCTCCTGGGTTCAACTGATTCTCCTTACTCAGCCTCCCAAGTAGCTGAGACTACAGGCACATGCCACCACACCTGGCTAGTTTTTGTATTTAGTAGAGACAGGGTTTCACCATGTTGGCCAGGCTGGTCTTGAACTTCTGACCTTAGGTGATCTACCTGCCTCAGCCTCCAAAAGTGCTGGGATTACAGGCTTGAGCCACCATGCTGGCTTATTTATTGAGTAAACATCTGTTCTCTTTGATTTTAATATAGGCATCTCTGCTCTGCTGCTTATTATTTGCATGGAATATCCTTTTCCATCCATTCATTTTCAGCCAATGTATGTCTTAAAAGGGAGTCTGTTGTGGATAGGATTTAGTTGGATCCTGTTTAGTTCTGATTCCAGTGGGAAATCATTTGTAGTTCACGTCCACATAGAGAAGGCCATGTTGTCACATATTATCTGTAGATCTTGTAATGTCTTGTAGATTTTTTTCTTCTTCATTTTTCCCTTATTCCCTGCTTTTGTATTTTGCTGGGTTTTTTTTATAGTGACATGCTTTGAGTCCCGTCTCATCTCCATTGGTGCATGTTTTGTAGATTTTCCATTTGTGATTTCAATTAAAGTTACATAAAACATTGTAACAATAAAACATTATTTTAAAATGTTAACAGCTTAACTCTGATTATGTACAGTAAGCACTACATTATAGCTGTAATCTTTGTTACTGTGGCAGAAATTCCTTTTGTATATGTTATGTTCCCATTAACACATTTGTAGTTCTTTTTAAATAATTTTGCCTTTGAAATGCTAGGAAAGAAAAGTCAAATTACAAATGAAAAGTACCCTAATGCATTATTTTTTTGTTTTTGTTTAAAAAATATTTTTTCATACAGTGTCACTCTCAGGATATATGTTTCTGTATTTGAATCATTTATTGATCTTTAATAGAGAACTTTATATTTTCATTTGGGTTAGAGGTACTGTCTGGGGTCCTTTTATTTCCTTTTGAAGGATTCCCTTTAGCATTTCTTGTGGGACCGTTCGAAAGTGCTAATGACCTTCCTCAGCTCTTCTTTATTCAGGAACATCTAAATTTCTCCTTTCTTTCTGCAAATGAGTTTTGCTTAATATAGTATTGTTAGTTGTTTTCTGTTTGTTTGTTTTGAGAAGTAGTCTTGCTCTGTCGCCCAGGCTGGAGTGCAGTGGCAGGATCTTGGCTCACTGTAACCTCTGTCCCCCTCCAACTCCCAGATTCAAGTGATTCTCCCGCTTCAGCCTCCTGAGTAGCTAGGATTGCAAGCATGCACCACCATGCCCAGCTAATTTTTGTGTTTTCAGCAGAGACAAGGTTTCACCACGTTGACCAGGCTTGTCTTGAACTCCTAACATCAGGTCATCCATCTGCCTTAGCCTCCCAAAGTGCTAGGATTACAGGCGTGAGCCATCATGCCCAGCTGTATTTTTTTTCTGTAAGCACTTTCAACATAACATCTCACTGCGATCTAGCCTGCAAGTTTTCTGCTGGAAAATGCACATAGTCTCATGCAGTTCTCTTATATATACAAGTCTCTTCTTTGTTCCTGCTGTCCAGGTTGTATCTTTCTCTTTGACTTTTGATAATTTGTAATGTGTCTTTCTATGAATGTCCTGTGATTAATTTTAGTTAGAATGGCCAAACTTCTGGAATTTGTATATATCCAGTTCTCTCCTCAAATTTGGGATGTTGTTAGACATTATTTATCTCCCTTCCTTCTTTTCTTTTCCTGCCTTTCCTTTCCTTTTTCCTCTCCATTCCTTTCCTTTCCCACAGGGTCTCACTCTGTCACCCAGGCTGGAGTGAAGTGGCACAATCTCAGCTCACAGCAATCTGCCCCTCTCAGGTTCAAGTGATTTTTGTGCCTCAGCCAGAGGCACAAAATTCCTCAAGTAGCTGGAATTACAGGTGTGTGCCAGCACACCTGGCTAATTTTTGTATTTTTAGTAGAGACAGGGTTTCACCATGTTGGCCAGGCAGATCTCGAACTCCTAGCCTCAAGTGATCCACCTGCCTCAACCTCCTAAAGTGCTGGGATTACAAGCATGAGCCTCTGTGCCTGGTCTGGACGTTATTACTTGAATTGCATTATTACTTGAATTATTACTTGAATTGCAAAAGACAGGGACCCTCTGTCTTCTTATGAACCTCCAATAGTTTGTATATTGTTCTGTTTGACAGCATCCCAAAATGTTGGGGTTTGTGTGCTTTTCTTTGTCATTTTTTCTTTCTGTTTTTTATAGCTGATATTTTGAGTATCCTATCTTTAAGTTTGCTCATTCATCTCTGTGTCTTATTTAGTCTGCTGTTGAAACCGCTAGTAAATTTTTACTTTATTGTATTTCAGCTCTAGAATGTTTGGTTTTGTTTTTTGTTTTTTAAAATGGAGTTTTGCTCTTGTTGCCCAGGCTGGTATGCAGTGGCACAATCTTGGTTCACTGCAACCTCCAACTCCTTGGTTCAAGCGATTCTCTTGCCTCAGCCTCCCAAGTAGCTGGGATTACAAATGACTGCCATCATGCCTGGAAAATTTTTGTATTTTTAGTAGAGACGGGGTTTCACCATGTTGGCCAGGCTGGTCTCGAACTCCTGACCTCAGGTGATCCACCCACTTTGGCCTCCCAAAGTGTTGGCATTACAGGCATGAGCCACTGCGCCCGGCTGGTTTTTTTAAATTAGTTTCTTTTACTGATGGATACAACCTAGGTCGTTTTGGAAAAAAAAAAAAAGAAAAAGAAAATACAGTTTTTCTTTTGCTTGCTATTCTCCATATTATTATGTATTGTTTTCCTGAATTCACTTACTTGTCTGTTCCTTAGCAACTCGGATTACAGGCACATGCCCAAATGCCCAGCTGGATTTTTTGACTTTTAGTAGAGATGAGGTCTTGCTGTGTTACCCAGGCTGCTCCTGAACTGCACTCACACAGTCCTCCTGCCTCGGTCTCCCAAAATACTGAGATACAGACATGAGCCACCACACCCAACCTCATTAAACATTTTAAAGCATTTGCTTTAAGTATCCTTCAAGTAAGTTTTTAGGTTTGGTTTCTGAAGATGTATACATTTATTTATTACTATTTTGCCCTTTTAGCCATATTTCCCCATCTTTTTGTAGGCCTTGTACCTCTTTTTTTAGGTTTGGTAAAACTAAACTACTTCTTTCAGTTCTTTTATATAAGAATTGTGCACAGGGAAACCTTTCCCAAGTAGCCTGTTGTAGAGAGTGTGGGGACACCTCAGTCCTTTTCTGGGGATGTGTCTTTCCTAGCTTTATGCATATATTATGCTACTACTAATGTTCATACAACTGCTCTTAAATGTCTTATTTTCTCTAAGGGGCTCATCCCTGCCTTTTCTGAGAAGCTTTGAGTTTCTGTTCTATGTTTCTGCCCTTTATCTTTCTCAAAGTCACCTGTAATCCTTCCGAGTCCCACAGATTCCCCACTTCTCCAGTGCATCACGTCACCCCCTTGTGTTTTCAGCTCTCACAATGCGACACACAACGTATACCGATACTTCTGGTGTCTCAGTTGGGTGAGACAGGTTCTAGTCCCTCTACCAGACTGTAAACATGCCAGAATCATGGGTTCATGTTTTACTCTTCCTTGCTTTTCTAGGGAGGAGCTGTATATTAAGAAGCAATGCAGGAAACAAGCGTATTAAAAATCAACTTGGATTAACCCTTGAGTCCCATCTGTCTGAATTGCAGCTGTTTCAAGCTGCAAGGAAAATCTATGGAAGTAATCAAGGTGAAAAGTTTACAAACCATAGTTCCTCAGTTTCACCACTTCAAAAAATTTCTTCTAGTTTCACAACACACATTTTTAATAAATACAGAAACGATTTTATTGATTTACCATTACTCCCACAAGAAGACAAAGTATACATTAGAGGAAAATCTTATGAATGTGAAGATGGCAAAGTTTTTAGAGTGTCTGCAAGCCTTACTAACCATCAAGTAATCCATACTGCAGATAAACCTTACAAATGTACTCAGTGTGGCAAGGTCTTTAGTCGCAATTCACACCTTGTAGAACATTGGAGAATTCATACTGGACAGAAGCCTTACAAATGTAGTGAATGTGACAAAGTGTTTAATCGCAATTCAAATCTTGCTCGACATCAAAGAATTCATACTGGAGAGAAGCCTCACAAATGTAACGAATGTGGCAAAGCATTTAGAGAGTGTTCAGGACTTACTACCCATCTTGTAATCCATACTGGAGAGAAACCTTACAAGTGTAATGAGTGTGGCAAGAACTTTAGGCACAAATTTTCTCTCACCAACCATCAGAGAAGTCACACTGCAGAAAAACCTTATAAATGTAACGAATGTGGCAAGGTCTTTAGTCTGCTTTCATACCTTGCACGGCATCAAATAATTCATAGTACAGAGAAGCCCTATAAGTGTAATGAATGTGGAAGAGCATTTCGCAAGCGTTCAGGCCTTATGGCCCATCTTCTCATCCATACTGGAGAGAAACCTTACAAATGTAATGAATGCGACAAGGTCTTTGGGCGCAAATTATACCTAACCAACCATCAGAGAATTCATACTGGAGAGAGACCTTACAAGTGTAATGCATGTGGCAAGGTCTTCAATCAAAATCCACACCTTGCACGACATCGGAAAATTCACGCTGGAGAGAATTCGCTGCGCACCTTTCAGATGCAATCAATGTGACAGTCTTTTTTTTTTTTAAAGATGGGGTTTCACCATGATGGCCAGGCTGGTCTTGAACTCCTGACCTCAGGTGGTCCACCCACCTTGGCCTCCCAAAGTGCTAGGATTACAGGCGTGAGCCACTGCACCCAGCCGTGACAAAGTCTTTAGATAAAATTCATACCTAGCACAACAGTGGATGACTCAGGAGAAAAACCTTACAAATATCGTAAAATGTGGCAAAGAATTTAGTTTGCATTCAAGCCTTTTTACCCATCTGTTGATCCACCCTGAAAGGAAAACTTACAAATGTAAAGCTAATGACATATATATAAATAATATATAGAGAACAGGGCTGGGCACGATCACACGTGTAATCCTAGTATTTTGGGAGGCCCAGGTAGGCAGATCATGAGGTCAGAAGTTCGAGACCAGCCTGGCCGACATGGGGAAACTCCGTCTCTACCAAAAATACAAGTAGTGGCACATGCCTGTAATCCCAGCTCCTCGAGAGACTGAGGCAGATCACTTGAACCCAGGAGGCACTGGGATTACAGGTGTGAACCACTGTGTCCAGCCTAGTTTAAATTTTTCTTAGTGTGAATGAATACATCCTTTTTACCAACATTGTTTAACAATCTTACCTCAGGAGGATCCTTTATAGCCCAGAATAATGTCCCATTAGGATTTTAAGATTGAAGCAGCCAGAATTGTGTGTGTGAGTGTGTGTGTGTGTGTGTGTGTGTGTGTGTGTGTGTGTGTTTGTGAGATAACATATACTTTTGGGTGCACATACTTGGGTAAGTATGATTTTGAGTAATTACATGTAGTACTTGAGTTGTTCTTTGTACTCTGGAGTAGGATGCTTACGTGGGTAAATCGAAAATCAGTTTGTGAGTAGCAGTACAATTTCAGCCTTGTACACCCTCACATGTACACCACTGTTAATGAGCATGCCTGTATTATATTTCTACATGCCTCTTTCTTGTGTACCAAATAAGACCCATGGTGTGCGCCTTCATTTTCATGCAGCAAAAATAAATAGTAATACCACAAATATTATGAAATAAAGTATGGGCTTGGGGGTAAAAATGCTGTAACATAATTTCTTTTTGTACCTGTACTCAGTGACGTAATTTGAAAATATTAATGTTCATCCATCTTTGAAGTCTAAGCACATAGAGAATTTTGTTTTGGTACGTTAACTAGGAACTTCATATAGTCACCCTCACAAGTTTTTTGGTAATTTGAACTTTTGACCACTCTCCTGGAACTTAATAAGTCTCCCTAAGGTTTGGTTGGATATTGAGAATGATGACGCCATACACTGACATAGTCTGAGAGTGTTCATTATATAATGAGGCTTTCTGGGGAAAGCAGGGTATACTTTTCCACCTGGTCCAAAATTGGCTTCAGAAAAGTGAGATAGGTGACTGTCTTGGGGTGTCATGATTGCTAAAGGGCAGGGCTGAGGTGGGGGTGCACACTTGTTTGAAATTCCAGTTGGTTCCAAAGGAGTGGCCACTGGGGCTTTATTATGATTTGACCAGATCCACATAATAGGAAGAGGGAGTGCAGAGGTATAAAAGGTGTGAGTGTTCAGACATCATAAAATGCAGTCAACTCTGTTAGAACACTGAATATTTCCTCTTGAAACGCCTGCCAGCTTGGTTAGGACATACCCCCAATTTATAATACCTAATTATAGAATATTCTATAATTATTGACATAATTCTGTAATATATTACCCAATAAATGACAATTTTGTCATCTTTATTATACAATAAATATAATTTTACAAGAGCATTTTTCCAAAAGCTATGGATATGTCATTTTCAGATTATGGTATTATGCAATATATTCCATGGTTCACTTTCAATTGTAATAAAATTCTATTTTTGTATGTATATATATTTTTACATTTATTTCATACGTTGCATCCAAATTCAATGTTTAATACATTTCTTCTCTGTTTTGCTCTGGTGAAAACTTTAGGGGACAAATAAATGAGGGTGTTGTTTGGAGACAAAATTTTGTGACATGAGACAGCATGGTGGCATGCTTCTGTAGTCCCAGGTACTTGGGAGGCTGAGGTGGGAGGATCACTTGATCCCAGCAGGTCCAGGCTGCAGTCAGTGAGCTGTGATTGTGTGACTGCACTCCAGCCTGGGGGACAGAGTGAGACCGTCTCAAAAAAGTTGTGACATGAGTATCCCATAAGACAATGGCAGATACAGACTAGGTTTAATATCAGTATGAAAAAGAAAAATATTTTTACTCTATTAGAAGACTGCAAATCATGTGAAGTGATTCCAGCCCTTTATTCTTTTCAGATATTCTGGATATTCTGGCTCTTGGGTTTTTTTTTTTTTTTTTCCCCTGGCCTTTCATCATGTTGGATAATCTTGTCAGTTATCCACAAAATGCCTTGACAGGAAATATATTAATCCCATGTATCAGTGTAGGGTAATTTCACATTGTTTGTTGAGTCTTCCGATAAATGGATTTTTTTTTTTTTTTGAGACGGAGTTTCGCTCTTGTTACCCAGGCTGGAGTACAATGGCGCGATCTCGGCTCACCGCAACCTCTGCTTCCTGGGTTCTGGCAATTCTCCTGCTTCAGCCTCCTGAGTAGCTGGGATTACAGGCACGCGCCACCATGCCCAGCTAATTTTTTGTATTTTTAGTAGAGACGGGGTTTCACCATGTTGACCAGGATGGTCTCGATCTCTTGACCTCGTGATCCACCCGCCTCGGCCTCCCAAAGTGCTGGGATTACAGGCTTGAGCCACCGCGCCCGGCCGACTTTCTTTATTTCTTTGAAAGTTTATATTATGAATGAGTGTTGGATTTTGTCAAATTTTTTTCTGCATCACTTTATAGAATCCTATCATTTTTTTCTTTTTATCATGTTAATATTGATTAAACGTTATATATGGATTGATTTATTCTTCTCGCAACCCAGTTTGGACAGAACATTAAATTTGAAATGATTAGGCTGGGTGCAGTGGCTCACACCAGTAATCCCAGCAGTTTGGGAGGTCGAGGTAGGCAGATCCCATGAGGCTTTTGTGGGATGCATTTCTATTTTCATTTGTTTTAAAAAAGTTTTAGTTTAATAATTCTTAATTTTTTTTATTGACTCACTGTTCATTCTGGAGTATGTCTCAAGGAAGCTGAAAAGGTGAGGGACAACGTGTTTTAATATCAATGTGGAAAATGGATATTTCTTCTGAGAGGAGGGGCGTCTGGTTTCTAGGAACAGTCTTTGAGAGTTACAGCTTTAATTATGGCAGGGAGGCTCAGGGAACTGTAGAAAGAAAAAGTTCTTTTCAGCCTCACCGAGTGCCCCCTGTGCTCAGCAGTTGGTAGAGTAAATGGGATGAGCTACAGGATTACATTTAGGCAAAGGCCTTTGCTCTTCACCCAGCATACACTCTCACCCTGCACACACTTCTGTCCTTCCCCATTGTCTTCTCTAGCAAGGCAAAGCTGATGCTTCCTTAGTTGTGTGATTAAGGAAGAGAAGTCGTGTATCTTTTTGTGCCTCTCCTTTACACCTCCCTCAGGTCTTTGACCTTCCTTTCTACTGCTCCGCTTAGACTTTCACTTCTTGCAGTTGCACTATCACCCAAGACCCAAGGATTTAGATTGTGAATAATATTCAAGCCAACATCATTGCCAAGTGAGAAATCTTTTTTTTTTTTTTTTTTTTTTTTTTCCCGAGACAGAGTCTTGCTCTGTTGCCCAGGCTGGAGTGCAGTGGTGCAATCTTGGCTCACTGCAACCTCTGCTTCCTGGGTTCAAGCAGTTCTGCCTCAGCCTCCCGAATAGCTGGGTTTACAGGCACATGCCACCATGCCTGGCTAATTTTTGTGTTCTTAGTAGAGACAGGGTTTCACCACGTTGGCCAGGCTGGTCTCAAACTCTTGACCTCGTAATCTGCCTGTCTTGGCCTCCCAAAGTGCTGGGATTACAGGCATGAGCCACCATGCCCGTTCCACAACTGAGAAATCTTTAACTCCAGGACCTTTTCTCCGTGGAGGGATCTTGGCAGCATAGAAACTTCTCTTTCTGCAGAGTTTAGACTCTTATTGGAAAAGCAGGTCACTGCTCCTGCCCAGCTCACCCTCACTCACAGTGGTGACCATCCCAAGAACAATAGCACATCCCATGAACAGTAGCATGCCCTCTGGCATGGCCTTCATTTTGGGGGACGGAACCCTCAACACACCCATCCCCCAAAACAAAGCCTATGCCAGAGGGTGTGTTAGTGTCACTCTGTGTCATTCTTTTACCCAGTAAATGCAGAGACTGTATTTTACTCCAGCCTTTGTTGTTGTTCTCACCAGGGATAAAAATGGTAAACCAACAGAATATATACTTCTATCCTACCTAGTTTATTTGTTTGAGGAGAGAGGGGAGGAGTGAGGAAGCAAAGAGAGGAAGAGAAAAATGGGAGGAAAAGTCAAGTCTAGTTTTAGTGGTGGATTTCTATTGCTAATATTTTGTTAAGAATTTCTGCGTCTTTCCGGGCGCGGTGGCTCAAGCCTGTAATCCCAGCACTATGGGAGGCCGAGGCGGGTGGATCACGAGGTCAAGAGATCGAGACCATCCTGGTTAACATGGTGAAACCCCGTCTCTACTAAAAATACAAAAAAATTAGCTGGACATGGTGGCGCGAGAATAAAAAAAAAAGAATTTTATTTATGAGGGACTTAGCTTTCAGTCACCATGTTTTCCTTGAAAATATGTTTATCTAGTTTTGGTACCACTTAATTTTCAGTCACCTTTTTTTTTTTTCTAATGTCTTTGTTTAGTTTTGGTATCATGCTAATACTGAATACTGATCTCATTAGTTGAGTTGGACTCCTACAATCATTCTGGGATTATTCACAACTGCCAAGATGGGTCAGCAACCCAAATGTCTCTTGATGGATGGGTGGATAACAAAATTCCCTCCTCTTCTACATTGTGAAAGAAATTCTGTACAATTGCTGTAAGTAATTCTTTACAAATCGGACAAAATTGTCTAGTGTCACCATCTGTTCCTGTTTATTTCTCCATTTGTGATAATTTTTTTCTTTTCGAGACAGAATTTCACTCTTGTCACCCAGCCTAGAGTGTAATAGCCTGATCTCACTTACTACAACCTCCACTTCCCAGGTTCAAGTGATTTGTCCTGTCTCAGCCTCCTGAGTAGCTGGGATTACAGACACCTGCCACTACACCCGGCTAATTTTTAAATTTTTATTAGAGTTGGGGTTTCACTGTGTTGGCCAGGCTGGTCTTGAACTCCTGACCTCAGGTAATCTGTCCACTTTGGCTTCCCAAAGTGCTAGGATTACAGGTGTAAGCCACCGTACCTGACTGGTAATTTTTTAATTGAGAAAATAATACAAAATATGAGCTCTGCCCCTTAACAGATTTTTAAGTGTACAATTCAATACTAATCAGTATAGGCATTGTTATATAACACATAGTTATATATCACACATAGATATATATCCAGAAGTTAGTCACCGTGCATAACTGAAATTTTATATGCTGTATCTAGCAAATATTTTCCCACCCATCTTCATCCTCTGGCAACCACCATTCTACTCTATGTTTTTATATGTCTAACTCATTAGACATAATTGATATAATTGGCATTGTGCTGTATTTTTTTTTTTAGCTCCTTTGTCCATTTACCAGTATTTGTCTTTTTTAAAATTATTTAAAAATTTTTTTTTTTTTTTAAACGGGGTTTCACCGTGTTGGTCAGGCTGGTCTTGAAATCCCGACCTCAGGTGATCCGCCCGCCTTGGCCTCCAAAGTGCTTGGATTACAGTCTTGAGACACCACGCCCGGCCAGTATTTGTCTTTTTGTGACTGGTTGGTTTCAGTTACCGTGTTGTGCTCAAGGTTTATTCGTGTTGTCATATTTGAGGGACTTTCCTACTTTTTAAAGGCTGAATAAGATTCCATTCCATGGCTCTTTCCGCCATCTTTCCGTGCCGCCACAATGGTGCGCATGAATGTCCTGGCTGATGCTCTCAAGAGCATCAACAATGCGGAAAAGAGAGGCAAACGCCAGGTGCTTATTAGGCCGTGCTCCAAAGTCATCGTCCGGTTTCTCACTGTGATGATGAAGCATGGTTACATTGGCGAATTTGAAATCATTGATGATCACAGAGCTGGGAAAATTGTTGTGAACCTCACAGGCAGGCTAAACAAGTGTGGTGTGATCAGCCCCAGATTTGATGTGCAACTCAAAGATCTAGAAAAATGGCAGAATAATCTGCTTCCGTCCCGCCAGTTTGGTTTCATTGTATTGACAACCTCAGCTGGCATCATGGACCATGAAGAAGCAAGACGAAAACACACAGGAGGGAAAATCCTGGGATTCTTTTTCTACGGATGTAATACATATATTTACAAATAAAATGCCTCATGGAAAAAAAAAAAAAAAAAAGATTCCATTCCATGTATAATACCATAATTTTGTTATCCACCACCAGTAGACATTTGGGTTGCTGACCCGTCTTGGCTATTGTGAATAATCCCACAATGATTATAGGAGTGCAAATATGTCCTTATGATCCTGATCTTAATTCTGGATAAAATCCTAGAGGTGGAATTGCTGTATTAATGTGGTAGTTCTATTTTTAAGTTTTTGAGATCCCGCCCAGGCGGGAGTGGAGTGGCCGGCATCTCGGCTCACTGCAGCCTCCAACTGATGGACTCAAGCGGTCCTCCCGCCTCAGCTTCCGGGGTAGCTAGGACCACAGGCGAGCGCCCCTACGACGGCCTTAAAATTAATTTTAATAGCAGGAAGTTTTGTGGATCTAATCACCAACAGACTTTCCCTGTGCCGGGGCATGATCTGTTTTCAGGAAACTGAGTTGCTCGGGAGTGCAAGGCAAGTCCCGCCTCCAAACCGGAGGAGCTGGGAATGAGGCGGAGAGAAGCGCAGTCCCCGCCCAATCCCGCCCGGGCCTAACCTCTCGGCTGCGCGCGCAGCTTCTTGGAGACCCGGAAGCAGATTACGCGTGGAGTGACGGTTATGCTGCGGCATGTGAGTTTCCCTCTGTTAGATTAAATTTGGGATGCCGATTCCCTTCTCGCTTCTGTACCCGGCGTCTCCGGGGCCACAGAGACCTTGAAATCGCCGCACAACTCCCTCCACCCCGAGTAAACTCAGACGTTCTAATAAGAGTCCAGCATTCACTTCACTGTTTGTGTGTGTGTGTGTGTGTGTTTTGAGACGGAGTCTCGCTCTGTCACCCAGGCTGGAGTGCAATGACGCGATCTCGGCTCACTGCAACCCCCGCCTCCCGGGTTCAAGCGATTCTCCTGCCTCAGCCTCCCAACTTGGGACTACAGGCGTGCGCCACCACGCCCAGCTAATTTTTGTATTTTTAGTAGAGACGGGGTTTCACCATGTTGGCCAGGATGTTGTCTATTTCTTTTCTTTCTTTTTTTTTTTTAAAGATGGGGTTTCGGCATGATGGACAGGCTGGTCTTGAACTCCTGACCTCAGGTGATCCACCCACCTTGGCCTCCCAAAGTGCTAGGATTACAGGCGTGAGCCACCGCGCGCAGCCAATGTTCTCTATTTCTTGACCTCGTGATCCGCCCCCCTAGGCCTTCCAAAGTGCTGAAACTACAGGCGTGAGCCACCGCGCCGGCCTTCCCTGACTGTTAAAAGCGTTCAGAGGCTGGTCCCGTCCCCGGTGTTTCACCACAGGGCCAAGTGGACAGCTCCTATCGCCGAGTTTTCCTGCTTCAGACACCTAGAGACGCCCCGCGCCGCGTAAAGTTCTCACCCGCGAGATGGGTCCAAGTCTCTCCGGTCCCCCAAGCCTCGCCCTCTTTTCACAGGCCAGCCCCCTTTTCTGTGCCTTAAATGAGAGGAAACCTATCTGATGTTTATTACTGATTGTGATGTTTCAATCTCCATTGGACTTTTGCCAATACCTAAATATTTGGTTGACAAAATTTAGTTTAGTGCAAAAGTAAGGACAAAACCGCTATCACTTTTGCACCAACCTAATATTTATGGGCCAGGGGGAGTAGCATGGTCCTGGAATCCCATCTTCTCCGGAGGCTCAGGCTGGAGAATTCTTTGAGCACAGCAGTTTGAGACCACTCTGGGCAACATAGTGAAACTCCCATCTCAATTTTTAAAACAGTATGGGTATTTAATAGAGATTGGAATTCAAGTTTCTATGTTTTTACATGGTCTAACTTTTTAAAGTGGTTTAATATGCAGTAATGTTTATAAAGTGAATTGAGCACAATTTATACATTTTTATTGCAAGCATGCTGAAATGTATATTATTAAAAATAACAATGAAATCCAGGCACAGTGGTGCATGCACACCTATCATTCTAGTTACTCGGAGAGGGTATCATTTGAGGCCAGGAGTTCAAGGCTGTAGTGTGCAATGAATAAGCCACTACACTGCAACCTGGACATATAAAAAACAGAAAGACAAATAGAATTTAAAAAAGAAGTCGTGGGGCCTGCAACTGCAAGGTTGTTGGTTCAAATCCTTAGTGAAGCCAGTCTTAAATTAACAAAAAAAAGAAACCTCCTAAGGAAATTTTGGCCGGGCGCGGTGGCTCAAGCCTGTAATCCCAGCACTTTGGGAGGCCGAGGCGGGTGGATCACGAGATCAAGAGATCGAGACCATCCTGGTCAACATGGTGAAACCCCGTCTCTACTAAAAATACAAAAAAATTCAGCTGGGCATGGTGGCGTGTGCCTGTAGTCCCAGCTACTCAGGAGGCTGAGGCAGGGGAATTGCCTGAACCCAGGAGGCGGAGGTTGCGGTGAGCCGAGATCGCGCCATTGCACTCCAGCCTGGGTAACAAGAGCGAAACTCCGTCTCAAAAAAAAAAAAGTATGTGAATAAGAGTGAAAATGCTGTACTACAAGAAGTGCAGCACACTTCTACTCCAGTTCCCAGTAAAGCTCCTTATCTCCATCTGAGACTACCTCAGTGTGGACTTTTTGGTCATTCAGCAACCATTCTTTAGGAAGCTCCAAACTTTCTCATGTCTTCCTGTCTTCTTTTGAGCCCAGGCTGGAGTGCAATGGCGCGATCTCGGCTCACCGCAACCTCCGCCTCCTGGGTTCAGGCAATTCTCCTGCCTCAGCCTCCTGAGTAGCTGGGATTACAGGCACGCACCACCATGCCCAGCTGATTTTTTGTATTTTTAGTAGAGACGGGGTTTCACCGTGTTGACCAGGATGGTCTCGATCTTTTGACCTCGTGATCCACCCGCCTCAGCCTCCCAAAGTGCTGGGATTACAGGCTTGAGCCACCGTGCCCGGCCCTCTTTTTTGTTTTTTAAAGACACAGTTGGTTAACGTATTTTCATAGTGGCTTTAGTCCTTCATACCCAACATGGTGTCCCTAGGAAAGTCTCTGGCATTGAGCACAGGGTTGACCGTCACCCTCTGGAGTGAATGGGGACTAGAAATGAAAAGCACTTATCTTCTGTGGGGCATTGACATGAAATTGCATATTCCACCCTGGCAGGGTTTTGCATTTCACATTGTCGCTTGCATCCTGTTCCAGACAATTCCAACGTGTGTTAATTCAATTCCTAAAACTTGCCCTTCCTTTTTTTCCTTCTTCTTTTCCTTTCCCTTCTTCCTTTCCCTCCTTCCTTTTCTTGTCCATTTCTTTTCGCTTTTTTCTCTTGGTTTTCTCTCTTCTTCTACTTATCTTTCTTTTCTCTCTTCTCTCTCTGCTTCCACAGAAAGCAGGAGGGACTTGAAATTCATTTTAATAGAAGGAATTTTCGTGGATATAATCACCAACCGATTTTACTCTGCGTAGGCAAAATCTGTTTCCAGACCGCTGAGCGGATCTTGCCTCCAAAACCCTGAAAACAAGCACAGTGCAACATCATTGAGGTACAGCCAGATCTATCTCACTAGGGCTAAGAGGATTGCCGCCGCAAGTATGATAAGCAGGCCTGCCTGGGGCAACAACATTGCAACAGCATTGGAGGGAGGCGAGTCAGGCAAACTGAAGCGCAGGCCCCTCCCCGGCCTCGTCCCGGCCAGCCTAGGTCCCACCCCACCCAAGTACCAGCCAGCCCAGGTCCCGGCCCGTCCCGGTCTCTAGGATGCGCGATCAATTTCCTGCAAACCCGGAAGCGGATCGCTGGGAGTGAACGCCTAGAGCGCAGTTTCCGGTAGAACCGGAAGTCGATCGCTTGGAGAGCGTTTCGCAGAAGCGCGTGAGTTTCCCTTTGTCTAGACTAATTCTACGCTGCTCAATTCTTCTGGGCTTCTACACCCGGGATATGAGTGGCAGGCAGACCTGGAAATCCCGGCACGGCTTCCTCCACCGCGAGTAAACTCAGACGTCCTTTGAGAGTCTCGGAGTCGCTTTCCTGCGTGTTAAAATCGCTTGGAGGCTGCTCCTGTGCCCGGTCTTTTTGCCCTATGGCCATGTAGACATCTCCTATCGTGGAGATTTCCTGCTTCAAATTCTTTACTAATCCCTACATACGCCCCATACCACTTAAAGTCCTTACCCGCGAGGTGGATTCAAGTCTCTCTGGTCCCCCAGCCTCGGCCTTCTTGGCCCCTGGAGCGCGGCGCCCCAACGCGGCACGAGACGCCGCGTACTCTGCCGGGTTTCTGCAGACTCCACTCCTCTCCTGGCCCACTCCTGCCTTTTTCCTCCTTGATCTGGACCCTGTGTTCCCCAGGCCTCCCTTTCCCAGCCACCGCTTCTCCTCACCCTGAGTGTCGGGAGTGACTTTTATCTCCTGACATCCAGTGTTCTCTGGAGCCAGCGTCCAGCGCACTGAAAATGAGCTCTTCCGGAGGTGGGCATCTTACTCCAATCTCCTCCCTGTGAATGTGTGGAGAAAAATAGATGGAGAACGAGTCAGAGGAAATAGAGAAATTTTGAAAGAGAAATGAAGAATGAGAGACCCATTAACAGACGGCAAAGTAGAAGGTGAGTGAGGGGTTTGCAGAGACACAGTGAAAGAAGGTGCCGAGAAAGTAGCAGGGGGAGAAAAGTAACTAAAAATGTAGAGAAAACTGGATCTGTAGAAAGACAGAAGTTCAACAAGATAGGGAAGGCTCCTCAGACAGAGAGTGGGAGAGAGGGGGAGGGATTTGGAGTCAGGGCAGACAGAGCAGCATGGCCCTGGGACAGTCAGAGGGGGCAGCTGGTGACAAGGAGAGGAGAGGGAGAACCACAGCGGGGGGAGGCCTGGTATCTGAGGGTGCCAGAGAGTGGGGACAGGGGGATGTGTAATAGGGAAGATGGAATTTTACAGGGAGAGCCCAAGGGGAGCTGAGTTGCGGGAGGAAAGAGGCAGAAATGTATGGAGGTTAGGGACAATGAAAGAGCAGAAAGAGGAATAAGAATTGAAAAAGGGGCTCAAAATGTACAGAATCCTAGGGGAAAATAAAGAGAAAAAAAGAGCTGGGGAAAAAAGATGAGAATGAGAGCTATGTACAGAATGAGGGAGGGAAACAGTAGTGAGAAAAGAGGGGGACTCAGGTTACAAATGAATGGTCAGTTGATTGGAAATTATGATTAAATTGTGGCGTATTAATTTGTTTATAATATAAAATTTGTCTAAAATACATGAGGCCTCGGACCGTGTCTCAAGTGTGTAATCCCAACACTTTGGGAGGCTGAGGTGGGCGGATCACTTGAGTTGAGACCAGTCTGGCCAACAAGGTGAAAACCCATCTCTAGTAAAAATACAAAATTAGCTGGGCAGAATGGCCTGCACCTGTAATCCCAGCTACTTGGGAGGCTGAGGCAGGAGAATCGCTTAATCCTGGGGAGGCAGAGGTTGCAGTGAGCCTATATCACACCACTCCCCTCCAGCTTAGGTGACAGAGCATTACTCTGTCTCAAAAAAAAAAAAAAAAAAAACCCACACACAAACACACGTAAAGATGTGTTTTTATAAGGCATGTGCATTCTATAATTCTTGGCATCAGAGGTTAGCTTCCATTTGTAATCTCTATTCTACCAGTGGGCCAGAGGGCAGTGACTGGGCTGATTCAGGTATGATTCACTCTCTTCTCTTTTCCTCCTTTTTTTTTTTTTTTTTTTTTTAAAATTGGAGACAGTGTCTTGTTCTGTTGCTCAGGCTGGAGTGCAGTGGCATCATCTTGGCACACGGCGACCTCCACATCCCTGGTTCAAGCAATTCCCCTGCCTCAGCCTCCTGAGTAGCTGAAATTACAGGTGCACACCATCATGACCAGCTAATTTTTTTGTATTTTTAGTAGAGGTGGAGTTTCACCGTGCTGGCCAGACTGGTATCAAACTCCTGACCTCAGGCAATCTGCCCACCTTGGCCTCCCAAAGTGCTGGGATTACAGGCGTGAGCCACCACACCTGGCCACTCTCTTCTCTTTTCTTGGGATGGACTAGGGTGTGAGTGAGTGTATAAGATAGGAAAAACCCAAGTGGTTTTTTGTGCTCTCACAGTGAACACAATGGAGAGCACTCAACACAGAATGCCTTATCTCTGGTCACCAAAATAATATGGGGATACTTGTCACCAATAAGCAATTCTTCGTTAAATAGCAACTGGGTGTTCTGTAATTTAGCTCAGTTTAACTGGTCAGTGTAGGAACAACCACACACGTTTTGATCACTAGAGGCGAGGTATTCTCTGTGTGGTGTAAGAGTAGTAAAAACAGTGTGGTTTCTTCCTATCTCAAATAGTAAGAGAAAGAGTTTTCCAAAAGGCCCACCCACCTGTCTCTAGGTCTCTGGTCTTACTCAGTAGTGACTGCGAATTGTCCCTGCTGCTGGCTGCTGCTGACCATGAGACTTTGTGCCACAAGCCAGCCCCATTCACACTCTCTTGATGACATGGCATCCCTCCTCCACAGTGTCGTCAGTTTTTACTTCAAGGGAATTACGTTGATCGGTGTACCCAGATGGAAGTGTTGCCTGTTAAAACACACACACACACAGTAATGCCTTTATTGGTCAGTGTACCTAGATGTAGGTATTGCCGATTAAAACACACACACACATACACACCACACACAGTAATTCCTTTTTTATTTTTTATTTATTTATTTTTGAGACGAAGTTTCACTCTTGTTACCCA